AAAAAAAAAAAACTCAAGTTTGAGCTCTTAAAATACTAATGTAGAACTACGACTCGTTTCTTGATCAATAAGACAACATTCAAGGGAGCAGGTATTGAAGTTTACCTGTAAGTAATAGTATGTAAGATTCTCCGGGACTCGACAGAAATCTAATTGTTTCGGCTATCTTTTCCAAGCACTCCTCGCTCTGACAACAAAAACAGGTCGAAATTCAAATTGTCACCCATTAAAGCCGATAACTGATTCAACAGTAGCAAATGGAGTTACTATGGAATAACAGCTTTATCCAATGATCCACTTGCAGTTCAAAGCGAGAAAAAACAAAACTAGATAAAGGAAGAAACACCAACCAATTAATTCAAAGACTGGACGCGATCTACAATTAGGACCGAAACCGAATATTTGGTTCGGTTTTCGGTTTAAATTTTCTTAAAATTTTGATTTTTCGGTTAGATTTGGATAAGAATGATTGGTTAACTGAACCAAACTGAAAACCGATTTATACACATATATATACATGTTTTTTATTTATATGTTATAAAAGCATTAATTTGCTTCAATGATCGATGATTTTCAAGTCTCAATGACCTCTAAAATGGCTCAAGCATTAATTTGCATTCGTCATAGTCCAAGTCACGGTTCAGGTCCGAGATCAACAATTTAGAATTTATTGAGAAGATTAAACAATGTGATAAAAAATCATTTTTTTTTTTTTTGGTTCGGATAAAACATCAAATTTTCGGTTTGGTTAAAAAATTGGAATTTATTTTAAGAAGATTAATTATTTATTGTGATTAACCGATAACCGAACTGAACTGAACCGACCGCTGAATACTCGGTTAAAAACCGAACCGAACCATAAATTTCGGTTCGGTTTTCGGTTCTGATAATGGACCATGTTCAGTTTGGTTTCGACTGAATGAGCAGCTGTATGTAAGAAGATCTCATACGATCATATTCTCTTTTATCTGTTACTTGACACACAGTTTTCATGAAACCAAACTACACAAAAAATCTATGCCACATCAAAATCAAGTCAAATCGCAACTGCATTATGAATTTCCATCAATACTTCGTTAAACGAATTTCTTCTCGAAAAAACTAGGCATCATTGTACAAGTTATAAACTCTTAATTATTTTCTTTCGAAAAATGAAAATTTTACCAGGTAAGGAGGATCTGCAACTACTATTGGAAACGAGTTCTTCAATGGTGATGGAAGATCCTCAGGTCGGTTATAATCATAGAAAGTGAACTCAGTACCGAATTGCTCAAACCTTTTATCATATTCAAGAAGCTGTGCCGGCACTCCCGGAGCAATTTTCTGAAATTTTAAGACATAAAAGAAAGGTTAGAACAATCCAAGTAACTGTTGAGGTACAGGTTGGAAAAAAAAAAAAAATCCTTAATCCTGCATATGCTGCATCACTGTGCACTCGTTTTACTTTCCGACAATCAATCCCAGTTTTTAGTAAATCACAGTTTTAGGAATCAAGAAATGAAATACAATCCTGCAAATCGAGCTATTTATACCGTCATTTCAAGAAGAACCAATCATCATGAAATGAGGCGAATTCGACCCGTTGGCTCACAAACACTAACACAAACACACATGGATGTGCGTTGATCCAATGGCTACTTTACGTGCACGTTGTGAAACTTTAGTAGTACTTAGACAAATCTTAGTACCTCAGACTCTCAGAGAACCCCAACACAAAATTTGTTCTTCACCAGCATTTCAAGAACCAACTATCATAAAAAGGGCAAATTTGATGTGCCCTCACAGGATTTACTACTTTTGGATCTCACATAAGCACACACAATCACACACAACAAACTGTAAAAAGCCCTCGAATTTATCCATGAAATGCTGTTGTACACTGTGGAACTTTAGTAGTACCTTGCCAAATCCCAAATATATTCAGATTTTCAGAGAAACACACAACAAAAATGTTATGCCCAGCACACGAAAATGCAGTGGAAATTAAGAAAACACCTTGAAATACGCGTACAGCGTGGGGCAGGCAATGCACGAGACGCGTGGCGAAGAGAGTGTCTCGCAGAGGGCGGCAACTTCGGTGGCGACGGTTTCCGCCGTGCGGCGGTCGTACCAGAATTGGCTGAGCCGCCAGTCCTCCGCCACCAGCGCCACATCCTCCGCATCGTCCGCGGCGGCGAGATCCCGGCTCTGCTCGGCGATGAACTCCTTGAGCGCCTCCAGAGCATGAGAGCTCAGAACTGGAAGATCGCCGTCGTCGTCGTCGTAGCCTTCTCCGGATTTGTTGACGGTTACGGCGTCGGTCGCCGGAAGTTCAGGCTCTTGACGGAGGTTTCTTACAGAGGACGCCATTTTTCTCTGCAGCGGAATCGGAGGGGAATAGGTTTGACGATAAATTCGGGTAATGTCCGAATAAGAAAAATGTATAAAAAAATTAAAAAAAAAAAAAAAAAAATTGACATGTTTGACTTTTTTTTATGATCTAACTTGTACGTGTTTCATAAAAAACTATAATTGTCCAACAAAAAATTAAAAAAAAAAAGAAAGAAAAAATCTTATTCTGAAATAAAAAACTATAAATTATTAATATGAAAGTAATTTTTTAATATTATTTTGAATGCTAGAAAAAAAAATTGTAAAGTATTATTTGTTTTATTTAATAAAAATTTATTTTTAGAATAATTGATTTATTCGACAATTGATAACGTCCGTGAATATCACGAGCAACTGAAAGTTAAATATTTGTATCAAAATAAAAAAGTGAATAAATATATATTTTTATAGTAGGTTGATAATAAATAAACATACAACCAGTGACTAAAAACTAACAAAATTTATTATTTAAAATAATACTCTTATTTCACTAACAAAAAAATTAAAAATAAAAATAAAATAAAATAAAAAACACAACTTTATATGTAACTCCAATAAAGTGTTACTTAATCTTTAAAATGTGTAACTATAAATCATAGGTAAAATTTTGTGAAAATATCTATTTTCACCCCGTTTTGAAGTCTTGTTAAGTTTTTCACACCGTCCAATAAAAAGCTAAGTTTTTCACCCCAGAAAGTGCGAAGGTTATGCGAAAATTGTCGCATATTCATCGCATAATTGTCCATATGCGAAGAATATGTGAAAAACTGTCGCATATCAATTGCATAATTGTGCGATAAATATGCGACAATTATGCAATTGATATGCGACAGTTATGCGACAGTTCTGCGAAAAACTGTCGCATAACTGTCGCATATCAATTGCATAATTGTGCGAAGACATTGTGCGATGAATATGCGACAGTTATGCAATTGATATGCGACAGTTATGCGACAGTTTTTCGCATAACCTTCGTACATGGACAGTTATGCGATGAATATGCGACAGTTTTCGCATAACCTTCGCACTTTCTGGGGTGAAAAACTTAGCTTTTTATTAGGCGGGTGAAAAACTTAATGTGTCTTTGTTATGGGGTGAAAAGATTTTTTCCCTAAAATTTTAATGGGTGCTACACTTGCTCTTGCTACCAAATGTTTTATGTAACAATATTGTAGAATTAGGTAACACTATTTATAAATGTTACATTAAGTTCTCTATTGTATTACTACCACCTATTTTTTTTCAATGTCATTTTAACATTATCAACTATTAATAAAATAAATGTCGTTTTAGATATTTTGTACATATTTTTCCATTATTACACTCATCTAGCTAATAAATACACTACGTCTTTTCATATTCACTTTTTATTTTTTCTCAAACAATTATCTCTATCCTCGTTAATGAGGGTTGTTATTGACAAAAGAAAATATTCTTAATAATTGTGCAACTTCTCAAAAAGACACTTATTATGAATAAGACGGAGTACTATTTAGTCGCTTTTTGAATGGTACATATAATTATTAAGTAACATATTTTACACAATATGTGTCAATTTCTTGTAACACCTTTTTTATTTGTGGTAGCATTACATCAACTAATTGTATTATTTTAATCAACCTAATGTAACTTTTTATATTGTAACACTACTTAGTATCACTTTAAAATGTTACATGTAATTCTCATATAACACTTTATTTACAATATGTATCAGTTTCTTATAAGACTTCTTAATCTATGATAGCATTTTATCATTCAATTATAACACTTTATCATTCAAATTGTATAATCAAATTAGATGATTAGGATACTCGAACTTGAACTTTTATTTGAGCGAGCCGATAAATGAGTTCGAGCTCAGCTCATTTGTCAGTAGATGTTAAGTCTTGGTCGAACTCGAACATTAATGAGATAAGGTATAAAAATTCTATTTGAATTTTAACAACCAAAACTCACAAGTTCCTAGGTTTTTTTTAATAACTCTAGAGTGTACTGTACGGGGTATTTTGTCGAACAACATGAGGTTAAACTAACTAGGAAAGTTTATTCGTATTCATCCTCGGTAGGAATGGAAAACCAGAAACGAACGGGACACGAACGGAGAACGAACAGACAAGGGCATAGTGTTCGAATAGAATTAATCGCCACAATATATTACCCGTACGATATGCATTAATTGCGACATGATACAGTATTCATAAATCCGATGGTACAAAACAAATAAAGACATGTGTTGCAGGGTGGTTTCTCTATTCGCATTGAGATTAAATTATATAGTACTAAGCATTGAATGCGGTGTGACATAATATACATAGAATATCTATTTATATATAAATGTAAATAAAAATCCCCAAAAGGATTAACATAAGACCTCAACTTTTCCTATAAAATGAAGGAGACACAACATTTAATGTATGAGAAAATTCTCTTACATAAATGAAATAAAAGTTCCGAATAGATCATCTATCCGTTCCAGATTCTCTTAATAACTCTATTCGTGCAGACCGAACATGGTACACATTCTAGTGTACTGTTCGAAAACATTTTTATACATCAAACATTTACCAATGTTCTCTTAAAAGAGAAAAACAGAAAGAACATATCTTCATATAATTTATGCGATTCTACCCTTACAATTTATAATATTAATTTTAAGATCAATAATCAATTAAGTACTACAACTCGACAAGCCCCAACATCAATGTATTGCTCCCCTCCAAACTCTTTGGAATTGCATGCCCAACTTAGGAAGATAATGGATGAGAGATATAAAAGCGAAGGACTATTGAGGAAAAATGGAGATGACATTTCAACTAACACATGCAATTCTGAGTGAAATAAAACAGCGACCTCCATTAATGCAAAGCCCGTGAACGGTGAATTCATCTTTACTCATCTCCACACTGCCAGATATATGTGTTTTTTCCTTCACTTTTCTTTTCACTGCTAAAGGGAGAATTTGTCTGAGTCGTTCAGGGAGGATGGGGATGACGAGGAGGCGCTGCGGTGGGCGGCACTGGAGCGACTGCCGACTTACCGCCGCGTGAGGCGGGGAATGTTTCGCAACATGGTCGGCTACTCCAAGGATTTCGACGTCCATAAGCTGCAAGCACAGGAGCAGAAAATCGTTCTGGATCGACTCATTAACTCGGTCGATGACGACTGGGAGAAATTCTTCTCCCGCGTGGGGCGTCGATTTGGGTGGTCAATGTTCATTTTCGCACTTTTTTTTTTTTTTTTTTTTTTTGCTCTTCAAGACTTAATTTTAACAGGAGCTATTTTATTTTATTTTTTTCTTATTTTTCTTTGATTTTATTACCTTCCCTTTTCAATTAGTATAATTAATTAATTAATTAAAAAATGGTCAAATAATTGTCCAAGACTTACCATTTGCAGCCAGTTTCTGCATACTTTGTCAAATTTAATAAATATATGATATTTTATAGCATCTATAGATATATCAGTATTTGATTGGTGTTTTTTAAAGAAAAAGTTGGTCAGGTTAATTTTTAGAGGAATTTGAAGTTTTTATGAAAATAACTTTTTAAATAAAATAATTAATTTTGATGTAAAATCTATATATCTATATATAAAAAGATTTACCATTTTTTAAAAATAGCAAGTCAAATTTTTGGTCAAATTCAGACACATTAATTACTTACTATTAATGGAAATATTTTTTTAATTGTTAATTTAATAACCCTT